CAAAAAACAAGAGTAACGTCCGGACTATGTACGTATGCAAAAAAATTACTAACATTGTGTGTTAGTTTTGTGAGAACGGAGTTGCTTTTCTAAAGATGCTCTGGAAACCGGATCTTTGAAATTTTTTCAAAAGTTGTTCCCGGTTGTGGAAAGTTCCGCTCAAGTCTTGGCTATCGAACAGCGAAAACCGTAGGTCTCTATCGCATTTCCGTCAAAAGTTATTCAAAAAATACCCACTCGCACTCTATTTTGGGATGGATAGTAGCTCACCAACAAGGAACAGTTCCAGTTAAACCCTGACGATGATTCATTAATTTTGTAGCTAATTTTAATTGTTGTGATGAGGTATTAAAGGTTTCAAGTAGTTCTTTTGTGAATAAATCATAATCAGGATGATACTGTCGAGTACTATACCATTTCTTGACATCGCCACCCAAAAACACTGGAATCATTTTGCGACGTTTATCTTTCTTGATTCCGGCGGCATCAAACATATCCTCAATATCTTGTAACCATGATGATGCATCTTGATCGACTGTACCAGTGAATAGTTCGGGCGGTTGAATGCCTTTCAATAAAATCTGATTAGGTAAATTGGTCATGTTTGACTGTTATCGACGCTGCTGGTGTTTGTCTGCTTTTTGTTGTTGGTGATGAGCAAGATTTGCTTGCGCTTGCTAGTCGGTGATGGAGCCTGTATGTACTACAACGGAATCTTATTTGTAATGAGTTAAAAATCTCTATCTAACACATTCGCCAGTAATGATACCACTTTCAACAATACCCCTAAACTATTAGCGAATGTTCACGCGACATTGATGAATATCTCGTAGACATTCGTCAATTGAAGAATGTCTATTGGCGAGCGACGACACATGCGAAAGCTTGACTGGGTTCTGATCGATCTACCAAAAAGTATCAGTTCTATCGTTTCAACATTGATGAATAGTCATGATGAAGCATTTTGAAGCCGTTCAAAATCTCGTCAAAAGTCCTTCAAACAATTATATTTAAATAACTGAATTAAACGAAGATGAAATACTATCATCCATTCAATATCGACTTGACAATGCTCAAAGAACGGTTACAGACATTCATATGCAATATTTACTCAACCTTTTCAAGAAATGCAGTATTCCTCTTTATATTAAACTAGCCATGGATCAAGCAATCAAATGGAGACATTCAGTTTCGA